TCTCTCTCTCTCTCTCTCTCTCTCTCTCTCTCACACACACACACACACACACACACACACACACACACACACACACACACGGAATGGGAGGCTGGAAACACAGGCAGGGCTCTGACAATTGGTCTCTAGTAAGGAGGTGGGCTGCAGTGCATGGGGGGGTGGTCAGGGGAGGTGGCCTGAAACCAATGGACCAGCTTCAGCTACTCAGGATTTGTGGGAGCACAGCGCCCCATGTTATATAGTATCTCTTTCTCTTATGTCTGAGGAAGAGGACTTGTTTACAAAAGCTCACCTTAAAAAAAAAACAGTCTTTAAGGTGCTACCACATTTTTGTATTTTTAATTTGTTCTTTCATTTTCATTATTTTTAATTTTGTTTTTACCTATCATGCTTGCCACAGACTAACAGAGCTACCTCTTCTACAACGTCTTGGGGTGGTTTTTTTTTTGCCCTCCAGGTTGTGCAATGAAGAGATGGCTCAGCAGCTGGAGAGCCTTTGCTGGCAGACCTCTCCTGGCCCTGATGCCTTCCTCTTCCTCCTCCTCTCCCTCTCGGCCCCCTCCCCCCAGGCTGCCTGCAAAGCCCATCTCTCCCTGGCACCTTGCGCCAAGCTGAATGCTTGGGCTGCCCGCCAGGTGCCTGAGAAATTCATCCCATAATTACTCTAACGAACGATGTGTCCTGGGAAAGGGGAAGAAGAAGCCGGCTTGCTAGTTAATCTCCCAGGCCATTCCCTCCCTCTCTCCCCACCCGCCAACCCCCCCACACACAGTCACCCCCCCCAATAGCCCCTTTGCCACGTGGCTCTCCCTCCCTCTCCTGCCAGGAGGAGAGAGCCATGCCTGTAGGTCTTGTTTGTTGTTTCCACCATCATCCGTGGGGGGACGGTTGGGGGGGCAGGCAAAGGAAGGAGGGCTGTGGGTCAGAGCGGATGGTGGGAGAAAGGAGTTCAAAGAAATAGCCAGGAAAGGTGGTGGTGGGGGCTCTGGATTAAGACTCTAAAGGCTCAGTTAAGATCTGGAGGGTTGTGGGGATGGGGGGCAGGGCAGCCTTCCTGACAGGAGGCAGGGGCTCTGGCCTGCCTGTGGTCCTCTTTCCATAGGGAGAATCTCCTTTTTTCTCTCTCTTATCATTCTCTCTCTCTCCC